GAAAACCATTCGCCCGAAAAAAAATTGGCCGCCTCACGTTCAAAAACCCTGTGGCAGACAGGGATCCCCCGAACCTCCAAAACAAACTGGGAAACCCGCATGTTTAACTTGCAGAGGCACCGCTCCCTAGCACTCTGGCTGCAGGCACCCCGCCAGTAGTTATGTGCAATGACCTCAGACCATACCAACCGCACATTGGGGAACAAAACTAAAATGTGGGCTAAATCCCGCTTGACAGCCGAAATCAAGTCCCAAATGGGAACGGAACCCAGGTCATTCCCCCCAAGATGGATCACCAGGACACTCGGTACCCCCAGGAGACGGGACAGCTGCACCAACTCCAGGAGTAGCCGAACCCACCTCATACCTCTCGAACCAAGCCATCTGACCTCAGCGTCGGGAGGCGTGAAACCCAACCGCTCACCTCCAGGCTGAATTGCAGCACGCTGCCCAGCCCAGTAGACATATGAGGGTCCGATGATCCAGATCCTGGGGGGGCCCGAATCTGTGGAAAGAAATTATGTCAATAGACCAGCCGGATAAATATAAGAAACATAGCGCCTCGAATCCCAGATCCCAATCCTCTGCACCACCTGCGCTGGCATGCCAAGCCTCGAGGCCTCAGTGGCCGCCCCAATACGAAAAGAATGCCCCCCGAACTCCTTGCTGTCCAAACCCAGGGATTCCAAACCCAAACGAAACACCCTGAGAAACTGGAAATGGGAAAGAAAACTACCATCCTCATGCACCAGTAGGGGCAACGCAGGAGAGGGGACAAAACAAGACAAACGCCAGAGCCCGGCACCGCCCTCAATCGAACCCATTTACCTCTCCCCAAGACATCCGTCTTCGAGCGGCGAATCTTGAAAGTGATTTGCACCGCAGAGCAAGAAACATCCCCGAATAGCATCCCCCCTACCTGCCGCCGACTGGGGCACACCAGCTCCCCAATCTGCTTGACCCCAAAGAACGCCAGGGAGAAAGCCAAGCGAAAGAGCTGAGACTCGAATTCCGAATGTCAAACCGCGGGCAACGCATCACACAGCGTAAGAAGGAGAGAACCTGAGACAGGCCACCTCGAGTCCCTGAAAGACACCCTTCCTCGCTTCAAACCTTTTAGTGCCTGGCGGACTATAAACGCCTTGGTTGTGTCTTCCCAACCCCGCAACTTGAACAGGTAGCTTAGCCCTGCCAAGCGTGCAGCAACTGCCGAGGGGGACAACCCCGCAGCATCCCAGTCACCCAGGAGGAGCACCAGCCCGTGCAGGCCAGCAGCCGAGTCCCGGAAGCCCCCTTGGGACAGTTCCCATCCGTCCCATGCCCTCCACACCTGGTTATAGCGGGTCCATGTGGCAGCTGCCACCGATCCCCGGACCAACTCCATCAGTCTGCCAGACCCAATGACCACATCCCCGGCGGGCATCAGATACCCTCCAAGTCTGCTTGCGGGACTACCTCCCGAAACATGTCCCACTGTGAACGAGAGAGAGCATCGGCCATCACATTGTGAACCCCCGGGATGTGCACAGCCCTACAAGACACATTAAGCTCCAAACAGTGCAGAACCAAGCGCCGTAACAAGCGTACCATGGGGGGGGGGGGAGGAGGCTGTCAGCTGGTTAACAGCCTGCACCACCCCCAAATTGTCGCAATGAAAACCACCCGTCTGTCCTACAGCAGGGAGCCCCACACCTCTAAAGCCACCAGAATAGGGAAGAGCTCCAGAAAAGCCAAGTTCCGAGTTAGCTCTGTCGTATGCCAGGCCTCCGGCCATGAGTCCGCACACCACTTTGAGCCCAGAATGGCCCCAAACCCCACCGAGCCAGCCACATCGATAAACAAGTGGAGGTCTGCATTAGAGACCTCTGGGGCTTTCCAGTATGACCTCCCATTATACAAAGCCAGAAAGGAATCCCAGACGGCCAAATCAGCCCGCAAAGGCCGCGTGAGCATGATTGAAGTGCTGAGGGCGAACGGCCCCAGACGTTGCCGCCGCCAAGCGCCTGTTAAAGATACGCCCTGTAACGGCACCCCCAGGCATAAAAGGGTTAAACCGCCGTTTAGTAGATCTTCCCCTTCCGGAGACACAGGCACAGCTACTGTAGACACCAATACACCAAACCGGAGAAGCATATGAATGCCGTAAACAGCCAAACCGTAACCATACGAATGCTGTAAACAGCCGAACAGGAATAAACATATGAATAGGTTTACACTCCTAGCAGTCGAACTGGAACAGCATACAATAAATCCCCCCAAGAACGAGACAAGGCTCCGTTTTGAGGGTCAAGCAGGAACAGACAGAGCTGTGGGTTTATTGTTCTTATATACACATACTTACACATTAGTACCACCCACAGGGTTTTGGAAAACAACCAATAAACACGTACATATACTCCGACACTCCCACACAAAATCCTCCCCTCTGCCTGTGATACAATTACCTTACACAATGGATAATGTAATTATAACAGCCAGAGAAATACAGTTGTTCCACATTATTCCTAACTTGAAAAGTATGCATCACATTCACTTACATTTTCAGAATCAGCATACTCTAAATACAAACATATGTCAAAATCAGCCAACTTGGTCCATTGGTTCAAAAGATAGATCAAAGTCCTTTGTGACCAAATGAAGCATGGCTTTTCTGCCCAAAACCAGTTCCACAGAGTCGCCTATCATGGAGATCCATGATAATCCAATTATCTCCAAGGACAGAGTAATCCAATTATCTCCAAGGACAGAGGCAAAACTCCATTAAGCACATGGCAGTAAAAAGACAGTAGAATACAATAAAATACACAAGGTTACATTTATAACATAAAATACAGACATGCAACATATCCTCAGATAGCTTAGGTCTGAGCGCACATTATTACTGAATGGCGCTCAGACTACACACATACAGTTCAATCGCCATGGAGCCAAAGTCTTTTATTACACGAATAGGTTCCATGGCATAGCTTTCTGGGTTAAATGAGTTCATTCAGTAATTCCGAGAATCTACCGAACGCCAGGGCAGAAATACAGGAATAGACCTTTCTGCATAGGAAAATAAGTATTTAAATGCCGGTCCATAATCAAAAGGCAGCAGGCAGGCAACCAGGCTCCTCCAATGCACAGTGGCGAGATTGGTATCGTCACACGCCCCATGGGCAAAATCCGACAGGCAAAATTGAACTTCCCCAACAGAGACTGCAGGCAGCGCAGCTGGATCTTCCGCCGCCCCATGGCCCATGACACCGCTAATCGCAGGTCCAGGACCTTCTCCTGGGGCAACTGACATTCCCCGGCCACCGAATCAATTTCGATGCCCAAGAAACTAAGGCACGTGACCGGACCCACCGTTTTGTCGTGGGCCAGCGGAACCCCGAACCGTTGGAACACGTCCCCGAGGACGTGCGACTCTGCAGGCCTTACACACAAGAAATCATCCAAGTATTGCAGGAGGGAAGCGACCCCAGCCTCCCTCTGCACCACCCAGTCTAGAAAAGAGCTAAAGCACTCAAAATAAAAACATGAAAGAGAGCAACCCATAGGCATGCACATATCCACAAAGAACTGTCCTTCGAAAGTACAGCCCAGCAGATGGTGGCATTCCGGATGCACCGGGAGCAGCCAAAATGCGGATTCCACATCAACCTTCGCAAGCATTGCGCCCGGGCCAGCAGCGGGTACGACAAGTGATGAATCAGGCGATACTTACCGGGCTCCTTCTTGGGCACGACGCCCAATGGAGAAACCCGCAAATTAGGCAAGGGTGGGGAGGAAAATGGGCCAGCCATTCAGCCCAGGGAGACCTCCTTACCCAGTTTATCCTGTACCACCTGCGGGTAATCCCTTACAGACTTAAGGTTCCGAACAGAGTGCCGTGGAGGGCTCTCCGAGTAAGGGATCCAAAACCCATTCTCAAACCCATCCAACAGGAGCCGTGCCGCAGCCTGGTTCCTATAAAGGTCGAGCCACGGGCACATCGCATTTACGAGCACCGGGGTCATCTCCCTTAGGCACCATATCCCCCCTTTTGCCCGTTTTGCCTCGCTTGAAACAGCGAAAGGCAGAATGCACCCCCCCGAAACCCGAGCATTCGTGCTTGAACCACCACGAGGAACCCCACTTGCAGTGGCTGTCGTTGAATTTCCAACAACAACCCGGCCTCTGAGTGAGGGCCGATGGGGACGCGGAGGAGCCCCCACCGGCCCCTCCAAGAAAGGACGAAAAGGCACCTTGGTGTAGGGCTGGACGAGTCATAATGGCAAGCCATAAGCCAATGTCCATCTGATCCCATGACAGCGATGGGCGTACCGCCAATGGTTGACGAAAGTGTTCATCGTACCTCCACCACCCCAGTCCCCCATAAGTCCTGCAGGCATTCCAAATAGTGTCCTGATAACAGAACAAGGCCGAGCACTTGTGGGGAGACTTCTCATCCACTACGCTGGCCAGAATACAGAACGCCCGAATCCAATTCCCCAAATTTTTGGGAATCTTTTGGTAACTAAATTTCTCCTTATCCGACTCCTTGCTGTCTTTCTCCACCACAGGAGAGGCGTCCTCCAGCAGCAGGAGAGAGAAAATCTCAACGAACTCCCCCTTCCAAATCACTCCCTTGTTTCTTTTTTCAAGCCCTAGAGGGCCCAACCAGCACATATATGCTGCGCCACGAGCCACATCAGCAACCCCAGCCTCGAGTGAACTGTCGCCCGCGGTCCCACTAGCCCCGACCGCCGCGGGTCCCAGGGAGGGGGAACCCCCACCCACAACTTCAAGGGGGGCAGAGAGGGAAGGAGACTGAATGCCGGGGGAGCAGCGCGGGGGACCAAACTGACCGCAGCTGACTGTCTAAGCCGCACTACCCGCCGTCCCCCGCTCCCAGTGATCCAAAAAAACACAAAGACCTGAAAGGAACCCCCCCTGGAGGTGCCCTTGTCTGCTTAGCTGCGCTATCTCCCCAGGGCCTTTTGTCTGGTAACCACTGTTGTATATGATATACGCCTGTTCCCAAGCAATAACCCTTATATTTTTGTTTTTTAGTTTTGTCACGAAGATCTATTTTTATATGAGAGTTGTTTAATGGTGTTCTGGGCACAAATGTCATAAGAAGTCCATGGAATGATATTAAAATTAAATGTGAAGCCTAGAACATTACTGTAGTACCAATAGGGCTCCAGACGGGTACTAGCATCATATTATGAGCACCCCGTGTGGCGTAATACCCATATAAGTGGTTATCCCTCTCACAGCCTTTAGTCCAAGTACACTGCAAGTGCCTTGCCGTAGATCACAGTATGCAATCTTTTATATATTTTGTATTTGTTTTAGGGAGTTATTTGTTGTATTCTGTGCACGGTAATGTACTATTGTCTTTTACTTTTTCTTTCTAGTTATATCGATAAATAATTTGATTACCATTTCAAACACAGTAATGTGCTACATCTCTGCATTCCGTCATACTTAAATCAAGCATGTTCCATACACTTGACTAAGTGTTATAACCAGCACTCCCAGTCAGCTACATGCCTTTCTACTCTGCCATAGTTATAACAGACAGCTGGATATGTTAGATTTAATCTGTTTAGTGCATGTTATTGAAATTGCGCTGTTATTTTATTTTAATGCCATGCTAGTACTCAAGAGCATGGTGCCCTTAATTAAGCTAATTCAGTTTATGCAACCAGTGCCTGTGTACCAAACTATGGCCTGTTAACGATCCAGCAATAGCACTGTGTCTCTCTGATTCGAATGCTTAATATAAAAATGTGCAGAATAAGCTCTTCTGTTTACCACATGTTATATAATTGCTTATGATGCTCAACAGTGTGAAATGTCGTCATGTACCATCCATGCACAACCAAAATAAAGAATTAAAGAAAAAAAAAAGAACTTCAATCCAGAGGTTTTGGATGCAGTCCCCAGTCTTGGTGAAGTTACCAACCAAAGTACAATATCCGTTTTCCTTGTGGTTCCTGATTGAGTGTCTGTGTAGATTCATTCTGAGATGCAGCTTAAGGACAGTTTTTCCAACGTAGCAACCTTTGTCACACACTGTACACTGTATCATGTACACCACATTTACAGCTGTGCATGAAAATGATCCCTTAATGTTGTGTGATTTGTTATTGTGTCTGGCTGTGTTATTGCCGCATATACAGTCAGGGCCGGACTGGGGATATAAAGCAGCCCTGGAAAAAAATCTATGCCAGTCCCATAAGTCATTGTGCTATGTAGTGTGTGTGTTTTAATAAATAAATAAATATAAAAAAGAAAAAAAAAAAATATATATATATATATATATATATATATATATATATATATTTATATATTAAATCAAGCATGCCAAACTCAAAGTCTAGCACGGGCCACATACACAAGGCATATAAACACACACACAAATAGACACAGAGGAGCTGGGGGGAACAAAGAGTCACACAGGGGGATGAGAGGAAAAAAAGAGATACGCATAAGTTCTGAGAGGGACATAAATATACACAGGGGACTGTAGAGAACAAAGAGACACAGAGAGGTTAGAGGGACAAATAGACACACAAATGGGGCTGGGAGGACAAAGAAACACACAGTAGGCTGAGGAGGGACAAAAAGACACACAGAGGAGCTGGGGGAACAAAGAGTCACACCGAGGACTTGGGGTACAAAGAGACATGCAGGGTGCTGAGGAGGACAAAGAAACACAAAAGGGTCTGGGGTGGACAAAGCTGGCAATTGGTTTTGGGGGGGGAGTGCAAGTAGCTGGTCTTGCCTAGGGCACAGAATAGTCTAGCACCAGATCTTCCTCTAGGGTGTCACACACTTTAACCAGGACCATAGGGCGTGGGTATCCAACTTTAAGCTTAGTGCTTGTGGCCTTACTAAAAGAATGCCAAGTTTTCAAAGTACCTAGCAATGTGATCCGCAGGGAGCCACTCCACGGATCTGTGATGATGATGCTCATCTGGATCAAAAAGTTGCTTACACAATGGGTTCAGGATCATGTCCCCTGCAGCCACAGGTAGAGCCTCCTGAAGCTCATCCTTAAGGGTAACATGAGTCTCAGAAAGGTCTGCTAATATAAGTGGTTTGAAAGTCACCTTCCTAGGAGCTCCCACAGTGGGTGGCTCACTTTTATACTGTGTGCAAGTAATCCCTGAGGTTGGCAATAAGACTTGGGAGATCATCTGGGACAAAGCTGATTATATGGTCCCCACAGCAGCCATAATGGCATCCATTATGGACTTTTGCATAGCCAAAGAGGGCTTCGCGCAAGGGACCAGTAGATCTGCAAATATTAAGAAGAGACAATGACAGGGACGATTCCCCTCAGAGGAGTGTTGGGCCTCAACATTCTTGGGGATAGGGGTAATACAATAATCTTATGCCGGGGCATAATTATAAAATGCCAAAAGTCAAATACCAACACAAGCCAGAAAAGTAAGTAATAAGAGGGAGTCAATGGTAAGCAATTCCCAATACAGAAGCAGAGCACTCCATATCAGAAACAAACCTAGGGGTGCAGCAGATAAAGTCCCACAGGACACTAGGTGGGTAAATTACCCAAACTACTCCTGCCACACAGATCAAGAGACTCCAGGGGAACAAAGAGGGAGCTCACCAGGGTCCAGAACCAAAGGGACAGCCAGCAGACAGGGAGAACACTCAAGCAATGCACATGATTCCATCACAAGAAGCATAGGGGAAGCAGGCCAAGCCTCAAGCCAAACTCTCTGAAGAGTGTGACTACCAATCTTCTACAGAGCACCGGAGAGGGGAGACATGGTGGGAAAGCCATCCTGAAACGAACAAGAGAGCAATTTAGGGGGAGGAGCATGGCCGGAGCCGAGCGCTGGACCCATTAAGTAACAAAAGGGGTTATTAATCCCCATCTGTGCGGAGGCCTTGACAGAGGGGGAAGCTATAGGGCCATGGAAAGGAGTTTGTTTTCCTCACACTAGAGTTTCTCTTTAAAGTTCAATTAGCAGAACAATAAAGTTTAAAGTAAACACACTGTGCTGTAAAAATGTAGTATTTTTCTGATGTAGGCTGTGAGTCACTGTCAGGAGAGGTATGGCTGCATAAATATAGTGATTTATTTCCTAAACTGCTGTAACTTGTTTCCCAGTCCCTATAATATGCTTCAAAGTGATTAACTCTTTCATAGCCAAAGGGGACCAGCAGATGCTCAGCCAGTCAGGTTTGTGTTCTTGGAACTATAGCTTAAATTTATTATTTGTTTATTTATTTATTTTTGTGTTACAAGTGTTTTTTTTATTTATTTTTTTTAAATAGTTGCTCTTTAATGGGTTTTTGGACTGTTTTGGTGTAACAGAAAGAAAATTGAAGAAATAAAGTCTGCAAGCAAGACATTGCCATGTAATATTAAATAAGAATTGCAGTCGTCCTAGACACACGGGGGAGATTAATCATGTGGCCTGTAGATTGGACATCTCCTGATCCCCTCCACCCCCTTGGTATTATTATTTCTATTAATTATATATGTATTTTCACAGATTTTACCATATCTTTCAATGCCACAGGTTACACAACTTATATTTAACATATCTACTTAACAGGAGATATTTATTGACAAAATTGGAAGCAAGCCTTGTGATACCTGTAATTAAATGTGTTGTATAGCAACGGATGCACTCTTGCACATCAAAACATGTATCAACGTATTTAATGAAATTTTCTATTATTGTAATTTTATTTTAGGCCTCAATCCTGTTACTCTATCTTTCTTTTCTGTACACATAAGAATTGGTACTAATCTAATTTCTACTGCAATTTATACTTACATTTATAGCAAATAAACAAATATGAGTGCATTTCCTTTGACACCAAGTAATTTGATTATTACGCTATTTATGGTTAATTGGTATAAAATGTGCACATATCCATCTGTCTGTCTATCTTTCTGTCAACCTGTCTGTATTGTGTTCAGGAAAATAAATGTACTCGTTATATATATAGTACACAAGGTACAAATCACATGCCCTCCTTTAATCCCTTTAAACTCTTTACTAAGGCTCAGAACAAGTTGATGTTATTAGATTACTGATAATCCTGTGTTTCCTCTAAAGCTCTGAGCAACACTCTCTTCCGTGTAGAAGGCCATCGGAGATATTTCTATGTCTCATATTCCAGAATCTGAGGCAGCCAGGACCCCAGAAACAGAAGGGACTAAAAGTCATTCAGGGACAAAACATAAAAGTGGGGGCGACACCGGAGGCAGAAAAAGCACAACAGGGGGCCATGATGGAGCCAAAAAAGGTACGAGTGGTGGAAGCCATGACAGGAAGAGTCCACAAAGTGGGCATGAGCACGGGCATCATGCCAGTGGGAGAAATCATCATAAAGGCAAAAGATTGAGTGACACCCAAAGCATTACAACCAAGACTTACTCACCCTTTTTGAATGCACTTTTCAGCAAGGTATGTAAAGTGTGTGTCTGTTTTTGTGTATTTGTATACAAGATATGAGTAGAATTATACCTGCAAGACTTTGGAAAGAACGTTTTACTTTTTAATTACTCAAACATATTATATATATTGATTAGGCAAAACTATACATTTTTACAAAATACCAAGTCGTATATGTATGTGTTTAGGAAAACCTGAAGACATACGACAAAAATGGCACAACACATACCCATACCTCCCAAGTGTACCTATAGTAACAGTCCCTTTTTTCTAACCAAATGTCCCTAATGTTTTGTAGGAGCGCTGTATTCCTTATGTGTTAGAGTGTATTATAGAGCTTAACAGTAATAGTGTTCACAGTAATGTGTCTTTTTACATTATAATACATGTGCTTAGAAATATGTCTGTGTAAATAGATACATTGATATTGTACTGATTTATAGTTTAGTTGCATAAATTGTTAGTAAAAGTTATCAGAACAAGGTACACCTTTGTTCATGTCCCACTCACACTACTAATGTTAGAGTCTCACATTGTCCATTTGAAATGTTGGAAGGTATTTATACCCACCAACAGAACATGAGGCTGATACAAAATTGATTAGGTACCACTATAAGTACTGTCACAAAATTTACATCAATAGTGGAGTATGAAAAGACCTAGAAACAGCATAAAACAAACATGTAAGGTCAAAACAGCATCAACTTTTGTAACAATATGTTGTCTCTATTTCTTTATTACTCAGGAGAGAGATTTGGCTCCAGAAGAAATGGACGGTGAGTATTTGACTGTCTTGATGTAACTAAATACATGGATAAGTAGAAATATAAGAGAAACAGAGCAGCACTGTTTTGTCATGGTTTTCCAACATCATGAAGTTGAATAAAGACAGAGGTTCATTGATAAACCCTTAGTGATGCAGGATGTGCTATGATGTCCTATAAAAGGTGGGCTTTAACATTGTAGGGCGTAACCAAGATGAGTACCCCTCCCCCAATGGCCCGAATACTCACCCTCTTCGGTGATTGCGATCGGGAGGTCCTGCCTGGCCCGATTACACCACCATAACATGACATGGATCAATGGATTGGCAGATTAACTGCAAGAGGACCGCCTGTGTTGTCAGGCAGATCCCCTAACTTATAATTCATATTTTATTAATTATATATATTAATTCTAAGTGTATTTTGATATTTTTATATAATAATTCTAAGTGTATTTATATATGGAATTATATATATCAACATTAATGTATAAAATTTTAACATGTTTGTTTTGTTTTGGTCAGAAGGTGGACATTTTGCCTCTGCCTTAAAAGGTTAAGGACGGCTGCAATTATTGTTATGCATAAGTTCTGAACCAGAAAACAAACAAAAAACAAACACTAGAATTTGAGCTATATGTTTGTTCCACCAAAATGTACCTCTTTCGTATTAAGTGCATTCACGTATATTCTATGCAATTTTGTTCAGGAGAAATAGGGCTTTTATTTCACATCAAATATATTTCTATATGGAACACAATTTAATCTTAAAAAGTGTGAGAAATTAAGAAATGTTACATGGTACATGGCATTAACTGTGAATGTCATAATACTGTTAGCTTTTACTGCAAAAAAAAAAAAAACACACATATTCATATGCTGTGATTCAATGAGTACAATGATACCCCTCACGCACAGGTGTCACGTGTTTTGAAAATTTACATAATCCCAGATAGAGCTTGTCCATTTCAGTTTTTACAATTTAAAAAAACAAAAAAACATTTAATTGGTTTTCAGTTTGGTACAAATTGGTGTTTAGTAAATAAAGTCATACATTGCTGTTTTTTCTTTGTATTATGTTATTCCTCTTACTTGATGCGTCTAAAATTAGCTTCCAATCTTTCTTCCGTGCGTATTCGATCTCACTTGTTTTTTTTTTGTTTCATCTCTATTTCCCACTTCCTGTATGTCTTATTTCCTGTATGTCTCTCAGTTTTTATTAATTTCCTGTCTGTCAATTTCCTATATGTCAAGTGCCACAAAATGTGTTTCATACTAATAATGTTTCTTAAATTACGTACTATTATTTGTAGTTTTCCTTCTGATAAGAGGCTATTGGTGTTAAACTATACTATAAAAATATGTTTTCATTTATAAAGCATGATATGAGCAAATCTGCCCCCCTATCTTTCCTATTTTCATGTGTTTCCAAAATGTTCAGATGCAAGTCATTTCCAATGGACCAATGACGTGTTATGCTGTCGTCATACTGTGGTTCATAAACATCATAAGTCAGAATGAATGTCCTGCAGACATGTAAAGTCCCGCTATCAGGGAATAAGTGGAATGCTCAATTCTCTATAGAATCTTCAAAAGGTGGTTTGTTATTAAAGAGTTATGCTGCCCTTGGTTCTTAAGGGGTTAATCCGTGTAGGTTTACTTCTAACCAAAAAATTACTTATTTTCTTTAAAGTACCACTATAGGCACCCAGACCACTTCAGCTTAATGAAATGGTCTGGGTGCAAGGTCCAGCTAGGTTTAACCCTTTTTTCTATAAACATAGAGGTTTTAGAGAAACTGCTATGTTTATAAATGGGTTAATCCAGCCTCTAGTGGCTGTCTCATTGACAGCCGCTAGAAGGCTTCCGCGCTTCTCACTGTGATTTTCACAGTGAGAAGACGCCAATGTCCATAGGAAAGCATTGTGAATGCTTTCCTATGGACTGGCTGAATGCGCGCGTAGCTCCTGCCGCGCATGCGCATTCAGCCGAGGAGGAGAGCAGGAGGAGGAGAGTTCCCCGCCCGGCGCTGAAGAAGGAGGTAAGTTTAACCACTTCCTCCCCCCAGAGCCTGTTGGGAGCGGGACCCTGAGGGTGGGGGCACCCTCAGGGCACTATAGTGCCAGGAAAACACTATAGTGGTCCTTTAAGTTGTTGACTATATACAGACATACAGTTTGTCTAACAAATGTCAGAATAATGAATTGTGTATGTTGATATAGCTCCTTGTACAACATAAGCTTTTCACTAAAACATTTTGTAATGTCTGATCTTGATGGATTGCTAATATGTTATTGGGATTCAAGACTTTTTGTGACAGCTGTATTTGAAAGAAGTACTGCCACTTCTCTGGAATTTACACCATTAAATAAAACATTGAAAATCACATTCAATGCATGTTAATATCTTTTGTCTTTTTGAGATGCATTTTTCCTTTAAATTTGCATTCAAGATTTAGCAATGACATCATAATCCAGTCTAAAAAAAGACAAAGCAGGGCAAACATTGCAAATAAAGAGGAACAATAGAATTATTGTTTCATTTCTACTCGTCTCTGTATGCTTTCTCTATTCTGACTGCTAGATAGAGTTTGTTACAATGATTGACATGGAGCTAAGATGGAGGTGCCCAGTTATATAAAGGTGTGAATCTCTATATTTATTATTCACACCTTCCAAATATGTTAAATATAGAGATAAGTAACATAATGTAAAAAATCCTAGAACGTGGCAGCTCCTCATTCTTGATCAACCCAGGCAGATTAACCCATCGGTTAGCTACTACCCTCACAGCAGGAAGGACAGTAAATGCACTCTGTAATTTCTATGAATCAATTTGCCTTCCCTCCATAAGCCTTCTTTCCTTTGCTTAAAGGAACACTGTAACACTGTAAGAATACATATTTTGCACCACAGTTCTTGTACCCCTAACATTTTGCACCACACTGCACAAAAAATAAAATCCAAACTAAAAAATAACAAATTATTCACCCTTGCTTCAACATTGAGTCTCCCTCATAGAATAGAATTGGGTGAACATAGGTATGTGGGGCGCTCACCGCATTGCACCTACATTTCCTCCATAGAGAATTGTTGTACAAAATAATTCTTTATGGCTCTCATAGCCACAGTTCCAAGCCTTCTAATTAGTTTGATATTGGTTTTTGGGGAGTAGGATAGGGTGGCAGGAATGTAGGCACTATAACAACTTCAATAAGATGACATCCCAACAGTGGCCCTTTAATATCAGTTAGAAAGGAGCCTGGTTTAGCAGGCCTGGATTTTGTATTATGCTCACTAAACGACTAATATTCTTATAGCCTCCAATCTCTGAAGACCTAGAAAATAGCACATATACAACAGTTGCCTCTTGCGGAGACCTAAATATTCTTTAGAAGATAATAGTCCATTGCAGACCCGGACTGGCCATCATGTAAACTGGGCAAATGCCCAGTGGGACACATCGGTCATGTGCTCTCCGGCCAGCCCATGCAGAACTGGAGCTATTCATGATCTTCCTCACGAGTCCTTTGGCACAACAATCCAGGGAGGTGAAGGGAAAGAACCCGGGAGCTATAACTTGCAGCTCCACCAGGATCTTCTTCTCGCGAGCATTGCTGTGGATACCATGGCAAGGCTCTGACCAGATCTCGGGAGAGTGAACTTCAGCCGGAGTAGTTGTAGGTGAGTACACCCACCACTGGACCACCATGGCCTGTAATGTCCCCCCTCCTGGGCCAAAGGAAAGAAGGGAGGGACGATATACAGTTTATTTTCTTAATATAAAGCATATAAATGTATATACATTTACTTTGCTCCAATCTGCCCTGCCCCCACAATACCTCCCAACACATTCACACAATGCACATACATTGAACCCTTCACACACACACACACACACTGCACCCCTCAAACACATTGCACCCTACACGCATACTGCACCCCCCCCCCACACACACACACACACTCTGCATCCCTCACACACATTGAACTTACACACACACACATTGAACCTCACACACTGCACCTCTCACATACATATTGTATCCCTCACACACATACATTGATCCCCTCACATTCACATTGCATCTCTCATACACACGCTGCACTCCCCTTTACCTGCACATTACATGCCTTACACACTCACCTCTAACACACACTGGACCCCTACACACTAGATCCCCTATAGACCATTTTACACACACTACCACTAACACACACTACATTACAGACACATACTGAACCCTTTACACACAGAATGCAACCCTCACCCCCACATTGAAACCCTCATACACACTGAATCATCACACACACTGCACCCATCACACACCGCGCCCCTACACACTTGATCGCCTATAGACACTACATCAATTAAACACTCTCTCTACCACTTGAACACACTACATCCCATATACACACACACACTGCACCACTTACACTACATTCCACACACACTACATCTCTGAAACACACTCTGGATTCGCCACACACACTAGATCCCCTATATATACTCTTGATCCTCTACACCCAAACACACACACACACACACAAAACACCCCTCTCTGGCCTGCCCCCTTCTCACAGTGCCGCTATGATTAGAAAATGTCCAGTCCATTTTATTTCTAGTATGTCCCTGGTAAACTGGATGCAAAAGGACAAGCAAGCTCTTAGTTGCTTTTCCCTGATGAGATGAGAAGTTTTCAAGTTCTTGAGAAAGCCTGGTATTGGGGGCGAAACGCGTCGAAGTGTGGACAGCTTCCTGCTGCCAGAGGTGGATGCACGTCTTAACTGTCAGCATCGTTTGCCAGCCACAGTCTTCTCTCTGTTTGAAAATTCATTTAATCAGCGCTGAGATTGGGCAGGAGTGTGCACGGACGGTTATGGCTGCCAAGCCTCTGTGTATTTTAAAGTTTATATCGTGGTATCTTGGAAACGAGTACCATAACTTGCTGATGTAAGGGTCTTTAATTTGGGGGAAGGGTTTTGTATGTTAACTTGATTAAATTGCAGTATTACCCTATGATAGATCTTTTTGTATCTTTTTAAGGTTAAAAGTCCACAGTGCAACAATGTACCTACAGATGCTGTGACATAGCTGCAAGATTAATCTTAACCCTGTAAAAGATCACCACCCAAGATTTATTGGACCCTATAGCAAGACTTTTTATGATGATTTGAGTACTAAACTTATGGTGGTCTTTTTTATTGTATTTTATTTTATTGCACTTGGAAATATTTCCATGAATCCGCAATTATAAGTGTTTTACTTCAGATATATAGATAGATATATATATATATATATATATATATATATATATATATATATATATATATATATATATATATATATATATATTTCCAAATGCTAAAATAAAGCTTTATTAGAAATGGCTTATATGAAGGGAATCAATCCCAATATACCCTATCTGTGGTATACTATAAGACTCCCCTCTCTCAGACTCACTGGTATTAGTAATCTTAAATCTAATTCCTATAAGTTGGTACATATATATATAGGATATCTAATGATATAATCAATAGCTTGTCTGCTAAATGAAGTAGGCAAGAACGTCCTTCATTGGTAGTAGTGGTAGGGGTAAAGTATAGGTATGTAGCAAATGTTGTAGCGGAGAGATTCTGTCAGTCAGTGAAAAGAGTAGGTAATATAGATACAGAGGTGAGTTTAAAAGAAACTGACAATGCACAGTTAGAAAGGCTCTCTCCCTGAAAATCTGATTAAACAAGCATGAAAGTAGGAAAAAAAATCAATTAGTGAAAGTAAATAATGTCATGTTCGAGAATTAAACATAACATTGCCCAGTGCCCATAACCCAGAGAAAGGATGAACGTCCGATGCGCGTTTCGGTGCTTTGTAAGATGCACCTTCGTCAGGGGCCAACAGTAAAATGATAGAGGTCTGGTTTAAATACATTGTATCGCCAGAAAATGGATAACTGTAGCCAATGGCATGATCAAGGGGGAGTATCTCACATGTGGAGGTGATATCGGCTTGATTATCATACCTTAATTATGTGTCCGATCTGCATTGGGTATTGCCGAGGGATGTGTGTGGTCTTGTCCCACGTGGCGTATAGGGGGCGGGACTAAATAGCCATCTTCGATTACGATTCGTATAGAGGCATAAGTGGGCTGGTTTATCCGTCATGTCTAGCCAATAAGTGGATAGCTCTAAATGTGAAGCTCTAATCCATAGAGAAAATAGTGACGTCAGATATCTCTCTCCATCTTGAGAGTAGATTCGTCAATATGGAATGGATGGGCGATGTATTCGTCAAACCCATCCAGCTCATATGGATAGGGCAGATCAATGTATAAATTTCACAATTTATAGTCCCGTCATGTTGAGGCAATAATTCAACAGCGGGATCATGCTGAAAGGCATTGATCAAGATGTGCCGATATTGCAGCAGTCATATGTACTCAACACTATATCCAATACCCCTATATCAATAAACACATACATTATTCAATCGAGTATATATAGGGACAATAAGACATCCCATGTTGTACATATTTCCATATGCCCCATACAGATCGATAGCCCCCATAGAGTAGGGGAGATCGATCCCCACATGACATCAGATGAACACACATACAGTATCCATCCCTCCTTAACCCAAACAAACAGAAAGGATAACGGAGGTGTGACTATAGTACAAGGTATGATGTTGCCCTCTGTAGAATCCAATGTATAACTACGTCGTACTCCCATTCATCTAAGTATGTATATCAACAATAATAATAGGGAAGAGTATATAGTAGAGGGAATATCTAAATAATCTCTCAGTGGAGATATGGCCAATTCTAAATTTCACTATATATATATATATATATATACACACACACACACACACACACACACACACACGTTTATATACCAGAGGTCAGTTATCCATATACAAATAAAAATAATTTAAAAAAAAACTACAACTACTATTAACTTTACATGTGTATCTTGCAGTGGAAAAATATATGCATATATACATATTTACAGTTAAGCTGAAATAAAGGATGTATAGGAGAAACCTTTCTTTAGACCCAAGGGGGAGAGGGTCTTGAGCTTATAGATCCAGAAACTCTCCCTTTGTAAGAGCTTCTTATCTAAGTAGGCCCCCCTCGGTCCAAGTGTGATCTCAGTTCCACAAAATCTAATTCCATCAGGTGATGGAATCCACAATGAATTTTGAGATGTTTGGAGACTGGGGTGTCAACCAATCTTCTCGGGTTCACCGAATTAACATGTTCACATATTCTGATCTTATAGTTGCGGGATGTTTTGCCCACATACAGTTTGTTACATGAACATGTGAGGAGGTAGACCAATCCTTTGGACTGGCAGTTAAAGAATGTTTTAACATTAAATTCTTGGGTGTTCGCAGAGTCCGAGAAGGTCTTAGATGGTCGACGTATAAATTTGCAGGCCTTACATCTACCACACTGGTATGTACCTGGGGATTTAAGCCACGTTGGTTTGTGTGGGGTTGGTTTGTGTGGCTAGGGACTAGGATATCCTTGATATTCCATCCTCTTCTAGCTGTAACAGAGGCGCGAGGAGTAATCACTTTATGTAGATGTGGATCTTGGTGCAATAGGGGCCAGAATCTTTCAAGGATCTTCATAATTTGGTGCCAGTCGGCATAAAATTTCCCTATGCACCTAATAGTCTCCTGTGATGCTTTTTTTTGAGTCTCCTCTGATAGAAGATCTTTTCGATCAGCTAGAAGTGCGCGTTTGCATGCGATTTAGATACCCCTATGTTTAAACTGATTTTGCAGTGTCTTAGCCTTCAGTTTACGTCGGAGACGCAAACACTGTCCCAATGATATGCCCTTTTTAAGGGCAGGAGGGTGATAGCTATCCCAATTCAAAAAATTATTGGTTGCTGACGGTTTCCGAAATAGAGTAGTTGTAAAATATCCATCATCTGTCATCATGATGGTAATATCTAGGAAGTTCATTTTCTTCCCCCCTATTTTGCTGGTTAGTCTTAGGTTAATGTCATTGGTGTTAAGGGCCACAACAAATTCAATGAAGAGATCGGTGGTACCGGTCCATATTATCAAGATATCATCGATATATCTCTTCCAAAGTGTGATATATCTAGTATATCTTTCCAAACTCGCATTGAACACCATGGTCTTTTCCATATTTTTTGTCTAACTGAAACACACAATTAGCGTGAAAAAAAATACTGTAGATATCCTTTTGGATGCTGTTGGTGAGTATATCCCAACCATTGCATGTACTGGCTGTCCAGAACGACATCACACTCCATGCCAACTGTATTTCAAATGCTCCCAAACCCAATAAACTAAAAGAACATATGCTGGTCATTGTTCCCAGGAAATTTTTGTAAATCGGGACTCAATAGCTAAAAGTCAAGCTATAGCAAGAGTCCCTCATACTGACTTCTCATCATCCAGAAAATTTCCTGTAATCGAGTGCCTGATGGAACTCCCAAAAGTAAGCAACCCGTAGACTGGTTGAAGACTAGAAGAGTGAGGCCATTTGTTTAAATCACCCCGGGAAGATTAGCTATGGTCACACAATGAGAGAATCCTATGGTAAAGAATTGCTTAGACCATCAGTAGCGAGAGTCCAATTACAAAATCTCAGATGCATTGTTGTTCCGAGATCTGTTGTATATAGGATCAGTTTTCCGGTGTGCTCACTGCCTTCAATTCAGGTTAAACTGTGTGTGGGGAACACCGTTCAATAGTAGGATTTTCCTGTGACTTTATATTTCTCCAGTCTTTCAGCTTAGTACTTCCATCTTCTGGTTCCAAAACAACATGGAGTTTGCCATCTTTCCTCAATAGGAGTTTAGTGGAGTAACCCAACTGGTAAGGGATCCTGTGATTTCTCTGTATTTGTGCCTGATTGCCATTGTGGTAGCAGAAAGATCTACATGTAGGGTGACATCCTGGTATGGCTTCTGGAGAGCAGGCATTTTTCTGGCTGCATTAATGAGTAAGTCCTTGGATCGGTAATAGTGAAATCTCACAATGGTGTATCGTGTAAATCTAGCTGGTTTTGGCAGTCAGTGAACTCTGTCCAAGAGCCATGAAGATTCATCCAGGTCAATACACAAGATCCAGCACACTCACTCATCCACTAAACAGCAACTTCAACTTAGTTTTTTGGTTTTCTTAAACACCTCATCTAGGCAAAAATAATGGGGGTTTAGTTACTGTATATGGCATAAGCCTGCCACAACGACAATATACACCAATTTTGGCAGACCCTACTCTAACATCCTAATATCTTATCTTATGAGATTAATCCAATTACTTGGGGAAAAATTTCCATCTGGGGCCTTGCAGTACAAGGTTAAATAGGGCACTGGAATGATACATCTGTGACAGGGAGGAGGAACCTGCTCCTCCTCCATCTTTTGTAGTTTGTCCATCATCTCCCTGTGAGCGGTACATAGCTCCTCTGTTCTTTGCTCCAGGTGGTTTGTCCTGTCTCCCAGTTCTGCGATATCTGTATGGAGCAATGCTGTAATTTGGTTAAAATCATTCTGTAAAGTGGTTGTTGTAGCATTGTATTAAGGTATCTGTTTGTAACAGGGTTGTCATCAAATGTGAGTTGTGCTGGATTAGGATCAGCCGTTCTGTCTGAAGTAGGGTAGTAGGCCTCAGAAATTTACTTATGTTAGGTAAGTTTAAGGAGCTCTTTTTTTCCTTGTGGGATCGGATACGTGAGCTTTGTTTGTTTTGAAGAGAGATTTAGGTATCTGCCATCCGCATCTGTACTCCATGCATCTGCACACTCTGGAAGTTAGCCACACCCCTGGCTCTATTTCTTGACTAATGTATCCTATCAACCATTCATGCCTGTTGCCTCTCTGGATTCACACCTCATCCTACGTTACCTGCTGTTTCAGTTTATCTGTGTGCCTCATTTTAACTCCAATATTAGACCCCAATGCACTATTCAAGACCACTCTCTTGGATCATCTATTCAGCCATTGCATTACATAGTTACGTACCTGAAAAGAGACTTGCATCTAAAAAACTAGGAAAAAATACCTTCTTGATCCCAAAATGGACGTCTGATCGCTCCTTGGTTCAAGATGCTATTACCCCACTAATTAAAATGTATATCCCTGAATAATATGTTTTTGCAAGTATGCTATTTAAACATCTGTACAGACCCTGATAAAACCACCCCTTCAGGCAGACAATTTTGCATCTATAGTGTTCTTACTGTAAAAATCCCTTTACTGTGTTGTAGACTAAATCTCCTTTCTTCCAGACTAAATGTGTGACCTCATGTTCTATGTATAGTCCTGTTTATGAATAGATTTCCAGACAATGGAATTGGCCCCAAATATATTTGTATAATGCTATCATATTCCCTCTACATTGCTGTTTTTCCAAACTATAGAGACTTAAATCTGTTAACCTTTCTTCATAACTAAAATGTTCCATTCCATTTATTAATTTTGTAGCCCACCTCTGCACTTTTTCTAGTTCCATAATATCCTTCACTAGAACAAGTGGCCAAAATTGCACAGCATATTCAAGGTATGATCTTACCAGTGATTTATAAAGAGGATGAATGCACCTATTTATACATGACCTTACTGGCCTCAGGAACTGCCAATTGCACATTGTTGCCTAGTTTGTTGTCTATAACAATTGCTCACATATTTCTTGTATATTGTTATCCATATTTCCCTACCATTTAGGGTGTAAATTGCCTGTGCATTATTTACCCCAAAATGCACAACTTTGCATTGTTCTACATTAAATTGAATCTGTCATTTAATTTGCCCAGTCCCCCAATCTATCTAAATCCCTCTGCAGCAAAGCAATATCCTGCTCACATTGTATTACTTTACAAAGTTTTGTGTTATCTGCAAACACAACATGACTTTCAAAGCCTATTTCAAGATCATTTTTAAATATTTTAAATAGAAGTGGTCAAAGAAAAGATCCCTAAAGGACAGCACTTCCCACTTTTGTTCAGGCTGAAAATTTACCATTAATAACTACTCTATCATTAAGCCAAAGCTCTATGTAAGAACAATAATTTTTATCTAGACCAATTTGTTTAAATTTAAACACTAAAATATTATGAGGCACTGTAACAAACGCCTTGGCAAAATCCAAGTAGTTCACATCTACTGCAACACACTGGTCTATACTTCTACTTACTTCTTCATAGAATGCAATTAGGCTAGTTTGACATTACCTATGTTTCCTAAAATCAAGCAGACTATTGCTAATAACACTGTTCTTCCCAATGAATTTCTATATATTATCCCTTAATAAGCCTTCAAACAATTTCCCAGCCTCAAAAGTTAAGTCTATAATTTCAAGGCAAAGATGTATAACCCTTTGTGAAAATAGAAACCACATTTGCCTTCCACCAATCCTCCGGTATGATTCAGAAAAGAATATTGAGCTGCATTGGGATGGACAGTCTGGGCTGGATTAGAAGATGAGGGCTTGCAACAAGAGAACTGCAGCTTTTGCAAGATGTATTTAGATAGACCCCCAAAGAAAATTTTTTGGGGTACATCTACTAAACAGGAGGGGATAGTGGAGGCAGGGAAACAGGAGGGGATAGTGGAGGCACACAACAAAAAAATAGAAATTGACTTATAAAGTAACCCGGTTACACCCCCTGGCTTTCAAGCAGGCAACAGATCATGTTACTTCCTGGTTTGGTTAGCTCAGTGGAGCTAAACTCAAGAGGCAGCAATTGCCCAGAGCACCTGCCTTGGAAAGACTTCTCACAGAGCTGCAATGGAATGTCCGTCATTGAACAGCCTCAAAAAGTATAGGCTAGGGGAGAAGGGAAGGGTTTGTAAAGGCAGCAGACATTAGAACTGCAGCTTTTGCAAGTTGCTTTTAGATATACCCTTAATGAAAAAATGCATAACTGAATGCATGCAAGTTTTCATTTGTGCTATATATACACACTACACAGTGATTTTTATTTATTTTGTATTTGGGCATTGGTGTCCCTTTAAGTACTTCTGGGTGAAGGCCCATGAGCTTTGTTTTCATAAACAAACATTCTTTTGTTGCTGCAGCACCTTTTCTTGAGTCATCCAATCACATTTTTCTTCCAATCTGCATTTCTTGCAGCAATCATTTGCATATCTCAATATGCAATATATATTGAGGAAAATTACCAGATTTTACTAATTACATGACGTAAAGTCATGATTTTATAAAGGACACGGAGGCGAGTATTAGGCTTTATCTCTTTCTTTATTCCTCAGCAGCAAAGAAAGGATATTGATATTTTTTAATATAGCAATAACAAAAAGAAAAAACAGATACCCTTAAGGGTTAACCATATAACATTCCATATCCATTAACCAATAGGATCAGTCCTTGTACTATATCCCTTCATGTGAGGTAAACTACTTCCTCTTTCTGGCTGACGCCGAAGCTGAACACATCAACAAGGGAAAAACATTTTCTCAAACTTGGATAATCTTTCTTAGGGGTTCCGGCGAATGTTCCAAATAATGTTGAGATATTGGACGATCCCGGTTATGTCATCACAGGGTTAAGCTGTAGGAGACAGAGAGATATATGGTAAAATGTATTCGAATATCGTTGTCATACATATATGTTGTACCGGTCCGTAGACAAACGTTTATATCTGAAAACTTTGCCTGCGACATTCTAGCATAAATCAGTCTAAATCGCAATCTTACCCTAGAACTTTGATTCTAAACATCCAAAATGCTATAGCTTGTTTATGAGTAAGTGGGTGGGAAAAAAATACATGTACGGCTTACCTTTCAGTGGGCGGGCTAATACTCGCCTCCGTGTCCTTTATAAAATCATGACTTTACGTCATGTAATTAGTAAAATCTGGTAATTTTATTAAAGGACACGGAGGCTCTTATTAGGCTAGTTTAAAGCTGTGATATGACCCTAGACGAGATATGTTCTGTTGGTCTAAAGTAGTATTCCTTAAACGTCGATTCTCGGGACCAGTCAGCTGTGCGGAGGAGGTCTTCCAGTTTACATCCAATGTAGAATGCCTTAGAGGCCATAGCGCCTCTAGTAGAGTGTGCCCCGTAAACGGCTGTGTCGATATTAGCATTTGACATTATCCATTTCACCCAACGTGTCAGAGTTCCCGTGGATACTGGTTGATGAGGTTTTCTCACTGCCAAGAACAAATTATGTGTTGTTGGGTTCCGGAATGGCTGTGTCCGTAATTCATATTCCTGCAGGCATGCTACCGGGCAGAGGTTAGCATTGTGAGGAAAGGAGGGATAGAAGACTGAAGTGGTGTTCGACTTCGTACGTCTGGTGATATTAAACAGGACACCATCCGGTGTGAATGATCGTGCATCGATATCTAAGGCCCTCACGTCTGATACCCGTTTGCAGGAAATTAAGCATAGGAGCATCGCCAATTTTGCAGACACTTGCTTGAGTGTGAGGTTCGAGTTTGGGGGCCAATCTTGCAACAACCGAAGGACCATATTCACATCCCATAGGGCCGTGTAACGAGGTTGTGGCGGACGTGCAAATTTTATGCCTCGTAGGAGACGACAGATCCATAAGTGTTTCCCAGCCGGGAAGCCTTCCCAACCAGTGTGCCCAGCTGAAATCGCTGACCTGTACACATTTATGGTGCGATAAGCCAAGCCTTGGTCATAAAGGGTAGTAAGGAAGCCCAAAACCTGGTTTATAGGAGCACGTATGGGATCCACGTGCCGTTCCACGCACCAACTACACCATGTGTTCCAGGCATGAGCATAGGAACGTCTTGTCCCTGGGGCCCAAGCTCCTGCCAATAATTCCAAAGTCGTTTGTGAAACATTCGGCATGGTCCAGGGTCCCCGGAGAGGAGCCATGTTAGGAGTCTGAGATGACCTTGCACCAGAAGTGGATGAGAGTTCCCATCGGGATCTGATAATAATTCCGTGCTCCCTGGAATCAATCTGGGGAGGTCGATTGACATTTCCATGAGGGAAGGGAACCATGGCTGTGCCGTCCAGAACGGTGTTATCAAAACCAACGATGCTCGGGAGCGCTGTAAGTGTAGGAGAGTCCGCGCTATGAGTGAGAAAGGGGGGAAGGCGTATAGCCTGGTGTTCGGCCAATTTTGTAGGAAGGCATCCACTGCCGTGGCGTCTGGGTCCGGTCTCCAGCTGAAGAATGAGGGGAGTTGAGCATTCAGCCGGGAGGCAAAAAGGTCGATGTGCATCGGTCCCCAGAGTTGGTGGAGTTTCTGGAATACTGTGCGATTCAATCGCCATGCACTGTTGTCTCGTAAATGCCTGGAGTGCCAATCCGCTACGGTGTTGGAGAGGCCTGGGAGGTATTCCGCCTGTACGGATATGCTGCGACTCAGGCAGAAATGCCAGAATTCTTTCGCCAAGTTCGTGAGGATTGAGGACCTCGTGCCACCCAAGTGGTTGATGTAGCGGACGGCTGAGACATTGTCCATGCGTAGGAGTATGGAACAATTGGTCGTGTGTCCGAGGAGGCTCCGTAGGGCGAATGACCCAGCCAGGAGTTCCAAACCATTGATGTGGAGTTCTTTTTCTTCGGAAGACCATTTTCCACCTGTAGAGGTAGGACCACAGCGGGCCCCCCATCCCAGTCTGCTCGCGTCGGATTCTATGACTAGATCCGGAGTGGCGCCGAAGATTGCCTTGCCGTTCCATGCTTCCATGTGTTGAAGCCACCATGCCAGTTCCTCTTTTGCCGCGCAGTCTAGAGGTACAGAATCTGAATAGGAGTGACCCAAGCGTAGGTGGGTTGCCTTGAGTTGTTGTAGGGATCTGTAGTGGAGAGGGCCTGGGAAGATCGCTTGTATAGAGGCCGAGAGCAGGCCAATTATCCTGGCTAGCTGTCGGAGGGTTAAGACTGGTCGAGCCAACGTCCTCCGGATTTCCTTCTTGATAAGTTTTACTTTTGCGGTAGGAAGACTGAGCGTTCCGTGTACTGCGTCTATATCGAAACCCAAAAACTCTATCGAGTGTGAAGGTTGTAGGATCGATTTGTCCCAATTGATTAGGAAACCTAGGTTTTGTAAAAGGGTTACTGTCCAGAATAGGTGTTGATTCAGTAGCTGTGTGTCTTGGGCCATGATCAGCATGTCGTCGAGGTATATGATCAGACGTACACCTCTGCTGCGAAGGAGGGCAACTACCGGTTTCAGCAGCTTGGTGAAGCACCACGGGGCTGAAGACAGGCCGAAAGGGAGGCAGCTGAAACGCCACATCGTCTGGTCCCATTGGAATTGCAGGAATTGTTGACAGTCCTCGGCAATCGGTATTGTGAGGTATGCATCCTGGAGGTCCAATTTTACCATCCAGTCTCCCAGTCTTAATAGGTCTCGGAGGCAGTGTATTCCTTCCATCTTGAAGTGATGGTATGTGACAAAGGCGTTGAGAGGCCGCAAGTTTATTACTGGCCTCATGCCCCCACCTTTCTTGGGTACTAAGAAGATGTTGCTTAGGAACCCGGGGGCGGTAATAGGAACCCTGTATATCGCACATTTTTTCTCCAGTGCGTGAATCTCTTTTAACACTAGCTGTTTGTCTAGTGGGGAAAAAATAATCCGATGTGGCAATGAGAGTTGAATCGGCTGTTGTGTAAATTCGATGTGATAGCCGAGGATGGTCTCTAGGACCCATGTATCTGAGGTTAGGTTGTGCCACGCATCCTGGAATTGAAACAATCTGCCCCCCACAGGTACAAAGGGAATGGTGTGTAATGTGGAGTGACTCACCATAAGGCCGACGGCCATAGGAGGATCCCCTGGTTCCGCGTGGATGCCATGATCTGCCCCTGGTCGGGAAGAATGGTGATTGTGCCCTCGGTTCGGGTGGGTGGAACCGTGGTGTGGCGGAGCCTCGATAGCCCCGGAACTGAGTCCGGGAGGGGCGGCCGGACAGACGGCCCCGCTGTCTGCCGGCCCCCCCGAAAACCTTTTGCGAGAACACTCGCTTCATATTATGTTGTGCCTTATCTAGTGCCGTAAATGTGTTTACGTAATTACCCAGGGTCTTAACAAAATTGTCTCCAAATAAGAGACCTTTTGCCTGTGTGCCAGGCTCGGAGATTGCCAAATGCACTAGTTTTGGCTCGATTTTCAACAATATGGCTTTACGCCGTTCCGTGGCCAATGCGGTGTTGGCATTTCCTATTAGGCATATGCCCCTCTGAATCCAGCCTCTGATGGCCATCAAGTCAATTGGGGTCCCCCCAGTAAGGGCCGCTTCGACCATATCGAAGATTTTAGCTATAGGCCCGAGTATGTCCAGGATCTTGTCCTGGCAGTGTTTTAAGGAGTAGTCCAAACCCTTCTTGGCCCTCCATCCTGACTTACCCAGGAACTGGGCGACTTTGGGATCCACTTCAGGGGTCACGCAGGCCATGTCTGGGACAGTGGGCCTTGGGCATTCCGCCCTTAGTTTGTTTCTTGTGGCCTTGTCGAGGGGTTTTCTGACCCTAGTCGCAATATAAACGGCCACATGAGTCGTGGGATACCACTCCGCTGAACGCGGATTGTGTAAGGTATCGGGATCAAAAAGGGGTTCCCCTTGGGGGTCTAACACAGCGGACTCATCCGTCTCGCGCTCCGCGTCTAGAGCTGGAGGCGCGGTGTCGCTGCGTTCGGGGGATGAATTGTCAGAATTAATTGGGTCGATATACCAAAGAAATAAATAAATAAATAGTAATATGAATCTAAACAACACAATATTTGAGGAGCTGAAAAATATGTGGTACTTAGCTGAGGCAGCAGCAAAGAAAGAGGAAGTAGTTTACCTCACATGAAGGGATATAGTACAAGGACTGATCCTATTGGTTAATGGATATGGAATGTTATATGGTTAACCCTTAAGGGTATCTGTTTTTTCTTTTTGTTATTGCTATATTAAAAAATATCAATATCCTTTCTTTGCTGCTGAGGAATAAAGAAAGAGATAAAGCCTAATAAGAGCCTCCGTGTCCTTTAATAAAATTTGTTATTTAAAAAGTTTGCCTTTTTATGGTCTTCATTAAAAGAACCATATTGTTAAAAACATGGCGTGGCTAGGGAGTGAGATACATTGAGAGGCTGGGGGATGAGACACATGGAGGTTCTTTGGGGGAAGAGACACACGGAAGGGGGCTGGGAGGAATGAGACACATTGAGGGACTGGGGAATGAGACACATGGGAGGATAATGAAACACATGGAGAGGCTGAGGGGGATGGGACACATGGAGGAGCTGGGGGGGATGATACACATGGAGCCGCTGCTGGGGAGAATGAGAAACACAAGAGGGAATGAGACATATGGAGGGACTGTGGGAGAATGAGACACATGGAGGAGCTGGGGGGGCAGAATAAGATACATGAGGGGGATGAGACACATGGAGGGGCTGGGAGACAATGAGACACTTAGAGGCGTTGGGGGGGATAAGACACATGGAGTAGCTGGGAAGGAGAATTAAATACATGGAGAAGCTGGGGATGAGAATGAAATACATGGAGATTATGGGGCGGAGAATGAGACACATGGAGGGACTGGGTGGGGATCAGACACAGTGGGGGGTCCCAGGGCAATTCTTTTTTACCAGGGCCCACTGGTTTATAGTTACGGCTCTGCTCCCTGGTATTTGGGATGTAAGGCTTAGACCTTTGAGCCTCAAGTACCTTTGTAAAAGCAGGATTTGAAAGCAGCACAGGCAGAGGATTAACAGCTGCCTTAAAGAAGGAAAGGGTGGATGATTCCTGCATGGAAAATTGTCGGGGTTCCGGGTACCAGAGGAAACAGGACGGACAATGTAGCGGAACATGGCTGGATTCCAAGTCATGGACCAGTCACCCCTGTTCGTGTTATATTACGTAAATATCTGCCATTTTTATTGTTATCACATTAACTCCAATGTGTATAGGCTCAAGTGTCATAGCTTATGCAAATATTATATAGTAAAGTTATTTCTTTAACTACTTAAACTATTGTCTCGTCCAATTATTGCACAAAAATGCACCATCACTACCAGGAATCATGACATAACCCATTAAATCATTTGTGTATCTTATTTCCCCCTATATTTTGTGTCACTTACCTCCAACCATTCCACACATTGTGTCTGTTACCTCCACTCTGCCATCCTTTGAGTCTCTTATTACCCTCTTAACACTTTGTGGCCCTTACCCTCACTCCTCCTCACTTTGTATCTCTTATTTCCCCCACACACCTTTGTGACTCTTACTCAGTCTATCCCACCCTTTTTTTTATCTCCTATTCATTCTCTTCCTCCCCATTTATCCTTTTGGTAGTGTGGCCTAGTGGGACCACAGTAGATGATATTCATCATTCATTATCCTCTGCCCAGTTTGAGCAGCATGCAGAGTGGATGGGTTGGAAATATGATGCTTATTCATATACTGCACTCTCTGCAGACTTATTGGTGCTCCCTCTCAGCCCGGCAGAGGATATTGTTACTATATTCCCACAAGGCCATGCTACAGAGATTCAATAACGATAGGGGTTTGCTGCTTTGTGCATCCCTTTCCTTCCTGTGTCCTTTGGTTTACTGTCTTCCCTCTGCCCCATTGGTTCTTTACCAGTGGTAAGTATTTAAGAAATATTTAATAAATGTAATGGATGTAAGATTGTTTAAATAAAATATATGCTATTTTACAGATGCCTATATATCAATATGCATGCCAAAACATAAAAATGTTTCTCTTAAATTTCTATTTCAATCTTTTTCCCAGAGCTTCATGCTGCATTTCTGGAATTTGATGCAGATCAGGATGGGTTCATTGGTTACAAGGAGTTAGGTGAATGTATGAGAACCATGGGATATATGCCAACAGAAATGGAGCTGATTGAAATCTCCCAGCACATCAAGATGAGGAGTGAGTAATGTGTCTCTCTAGGGCTGTGGTTTTAAAATCTTCCATTTGGAATTATTTGTATTATAACATATTTACAAAATATTTGGATGTGGTGATGAACAGATAAATATATGATAGATAGATTGTATGTTTGTTGGTTAAAATATACATCCATAATTCATACTGGGTTACTCTCCAGACAAAGAATATAAGTAATTGAAATCTGAATAGCAAAATTAATGGCTGATTTGGGGAAAAAAAAAATCTTCACCTTAGCTGTAGTCACAGCTTCGCTATCGGGGGCTGAGTTTTGCCATTTAGATATACTGTTGTGTGTCATTTAATGAAATCAGTGTAGATTTTTGAACACCATATGTCATGTACATGAATCGTAAAGCAAGTCGAATATGAAAATATGTCACCAATAATATAAAATTTCATACAGTACATTTATAATGTTACACTAAAGTCAGCTCTATTAATCACAAATTATTTGCACATATAAAACAAAAATAAATATCATAATTGTAGCGGATGGCATTGGGCTGTCCAAAAAACGACATGTATTATTATATGTTCGGTTAAATTGTATCTATGTATGTGGAACTGTATGCAGCATTCGGCTGATTGTTCGGTAGAATCACTCCAGGCATTATGAGAGTGAAACTACCGAACAGTCAGACCACCCCAGTAGAAAGTGTGCCTCCAATTACCGGTTGCAACAATGTTGCGAACGGGTAATTGGCAATCTGTGCAGTGGGTCCTTTGTTCTCGGGGTGGCCGCCATTCGGGAGACGAACACATGGTGGCGGCCATTTTAAAACCCCTGAACAGCTGTGTTTTGCCGTCGAGTGTCTGGAACCAAAATCGGACACTCGGCTAGGCGAACACCGCTGAGACCTTCACACTGCCCTTAAATTCGTATCCAAACTACCGAACGGCCACCCGTTCGGTAGAAAGAAACATCCGAACAAGGGGATTCATGCAAACCCTCCCTAGTCTCTATAGCACAAGCCTTTCATGCCATTTATTCCCTTCTTCTGTGACTGACCGCAGTGCCCCATCTCAAGGAACCAAATTTGGCTGTTCCCTCCAGCACGGTCGGTCTTTTTACTACCTCCACAGATTTCCCGAACCTCTGGTCCGATCTGGGTGATTTTTGGATATGTCTCTCACCCAGATCAGGGCTACCAGGGGATGTAATATTTAAAGGGGTACCCCTAGATTTAGGGGTACATCCAGAAACCCAGGGAATTTGTGTTCTGTATAAGGGGATTATGAGTCAGTCTAAGGGGAGGAGATGTGTGGGAGGTTACTCAAGTATGATTGGACACTGTACTAATGACTGTAAATCCCTCCCTTGCATGGGAGAATGCTTTATAAGGCCACTGTGTGAATAAAAGTTTAGTTCTGCTCCTGATGCTGTGTGTCGTCCAGTCATTGGGATTGAGGTTGGGATATTGCTGGATTATTTTGCCTGCTGGAAACCTTGTTTTATGGATTTATAATACTTGTTCCTGAGCCTCACTGGGATCTTAAGCGGTGATAACTTGTGGAATACCAGATCTCCGCTACAATAATAATAAATTTATATATATCGCTACTCAATGGCACAAGTGAGCAAAAACTGTTTTGAGACCTTAGCGGGGATCTACTGATGGGCAAGCTACTGAGTTCCTCTAAGCTTAGTTTTAGAAACTAATCTTATCATCTGTCATAAATTTGCTGGGGTACTTCTGTTTTTTTAACCCCTGTTCTATTTAATTTGTGTCTTTAAATATATAATCTGTGACTCTGTGACGGCATTTTCAGGAGAAAGCATCCTTTTTTTTTTCCTCTATTCATTTTTCTTTTTTTAATTTTAGTTATTTCTTTATTTATTATTTTATCTATTTTTAAAATTGTAGTTTTGTTTTCCATTATTTTTCTTTTCTTAATTTTATAAGATTTAATTTCATTTTATTTATTTATTTTTTCTTACTTCTTCCTTCTTTCTTTTTAATTTGTGTCTTCTTTACCTCTGTCACATTTTAATATTCATTATATATTATTTAAATACTTTTTTTACTTTTCATCGTGTGTTATTTATGTCACACTTTTACCTTATTGTCTATATTGTTTTTGTATGAAATTATTATGAATATTGTAAAAATCTGCAACATTATTCATTCTACCTATATCAAAACTAATAGGGTGACAAAGTAACCAAGTCCCATGTCAACCTATTATTAGATGACCAAGCAACAAAATTGCTGGACACACTATTGTTATTGCTGGGATTTAAAATATTATTATTTTTCTTATTATTATTATGACAATGTTTTTTCAAATGCCATTGACTATAAAGCAAACCACTAATAATTTGGCACAATGGTAAAATATATGCTCCAGTGGCCATACTAGATTGCTCAAAATTCTTTAAACAACTTCATCTCTGAAACCAACTGTTAGAACAATGCAACATTTGGCAAGTAATATTTACAGCAAGGTCATCTACCGTGGTTGTTCAGAGCAAGACAGTATAAAAGTCAAGATGGCTGTCACAAGCTAATGACATTTAAAATGTCCTCCAATTACAGATATGTTCCTTTATTTCACTATTGAACTAGAATACAACTTGATAAACATATTTATTACTCAAATACATGAATGCCAAAGATCATATAAGGGTTAAATGTCACAGCGGTCAGTGGGCATTTTGAATTTGAAAAAAAAATATAAAAAGTTATAAAATTTAGCAAAACATAAAAGTGTACGATGAGCTGCTGCATGTGAAATATAGAGATCATTGGTCACATTGCGTGACTGCTATTTCGTTTTTTTGTGCGCATTTTTCAAAGGTTATAACATTTTTCTTTTGTAAAACCGTTTATGCGACAGATGTGTAACTGTTTGAGAAGCTCTGCTATGGCCTATATTTAGAATTGTTCAAGACGATTCAGTAAGCCAGGTGGGTTTGGCGGCCATTTTGAAAACTTAGCTGTTTTTTTTTCAAATAACTGTAAAATCTAAATTGCTGCACTTAATCTGTTTCAAATTGGTGTGTTGATAAATAGCTAGGGTGTGCTTTGCCACATGCAATACAAAGACCTTATGTGTATGCATGCAATTTTTCTCTACATTCTATGGCATTTTCTTAAGCGTGGCCACCTCTTAAGATTAATTAGGGACTTGATTTGGCAGTCATTTATAAAAATACAAATATTACAGTGCATTGTGTAATAACTGTAAAATAAAACTACTTTGCAAAACTCTATGAAACCAATGTTGTAAACGTTGAAATCTTGTGTGTTTTGCTATTTGCAATGTGAAGCCAAATATTTTAAAATGCAAATCTTTGTAATTTACTTCTATATATTACTTTTCTATGAATGTGCTTTGTCCATGCTCTGCCATGATCAATATGAAGACCAAATGTCATGAGGTCTGGTGGCCTCATGACATTTGTATAAAATGACCAATTTTGAAAAATCTTCTATTTAATTCTCTACCTGCAATATCTGCTCATGTGCACTACCAGGTTTTTCTACTTGGCCACCTTCACTGGTGCTTGCAGCTATTTATAGTTGGCCAAGCAATGAAGCTGCTGAACAACCTATTGTTTTTGCTCAGATTTATTATTATGATTAATTTTGCACAATATTTAAAAAATAAATTCTCCAGAACCATTTATATTACAGCTGTTCAAATAGCTGTACAAGGTCATGTTGTGACCTAGACTATGATTTGTTCAACAGAAGTCAGTTGTTCACATGGTTTGGTGGCCATTTTGGATTGCCTAAAATTCTTTAAACTACTTCTTCTCTGAAACTGAGTGTTGTAACAATATAAAATTTACCACACATGCCCACATCAAGGTCAGCTACCACAATTGTGCAGATATATTAAATATACAATTACTCAAAAACATAAGTGCCATAGGTCATATAGAATAAAGTAACTAAACAGAGAGAGAATGTTAAAGACAGGCAGCAGAACCTGAAGTTTGATGCTCCCTCACAGACCTTCAAAGGAAAGAGATGTACACAATAGAACAGATATTGTAATTGTGGCGCAACCTAATATCTCCATAGGTCATATAGTAGTCAAAGGTCACAAAGAGCAGTGCCAATTTTGTATTTGAAAAAATAAAATAAACTTTGACAAAATGTAGTGGTCTGCTGCAAACTCATGTTTGTGAAATATGCATATCATCAGTCACAAGGTGTGGTAGCCATTTTGTTATGTGTACAAATTTAAGACGAATTTATAAAAGTCTTCTTTTTGGAAAATGTTTATGCTACAGTAACATTTTGTTTGTAGAGCTATATTATGGCCTATATTCAGTTTTGTTCAAGAGAAGTCAGCAAGCTATGTGGCTTGGCAACCATTTTGAATTATTAAAAAATGGTTTAATTCAAGTAACTGTAAAATCAAAATTGCTATTTTAAAGGACCACTCTAGGCACCCAGACCACTTCAGCTTAATGAAGTGGTCTGGGTGCCAGGTCCAGCTAGGGTTAACCCATTTTTTCATAAACATAGCAGTTTCAGAGAAACTGCTATGTTTATGAATGGGTTAAGCCTTCCCCTATTTCCTCTAGTGGCTGTCTCATTGACAGCCACTAGAGGCGCTTGCGTGCTTCTCACTGTGATTTTCACAGTGAGAGCACGCCAGCGTCCATAGGAAAGCATTATGAATGCTTTCCTATGAGACCGGCTGAATGCGCGCGCAGCTCTTGCCGCGCGTGCGCATTCAGCCCGGGGGTAACGGAGGCGGAGAGGAGGAGGAGAGCTCTCCGCCCAGCGCTGGAAAAAGGTAAGTTTTTACCCCTTTCCCCTTCCAGAGCCGGGCGGGAGGGGGTCCCTGAGGGTGGGGGCACCCTCAGGGCACTATAGTGCCAGGAAAACGAGTATGTTTTCCTGGCACTATAGTGGTCCTTTAAAACTCTGTGCTCTGCCATATACAATATAAACCCAGTATGTCTCACGGTCTGGCAACCATATTGATTTATTTGATGAAAGTTGCTAAATTTTAAATATTCTTTAAGATTATTGACTTCTCTGCATGCAATCTTTATTTGCTGAGTTTATCATGCTCTCATGCCTGGCCACCTCTTAAAGTCAATTAAACATGTCATTTGACAACCAGTGTAAAAATTACAAACAGTACGGAGTATTGTAAAACAACTATAAAATTAAAGCTACTAAACTAAACTCTTTAAAAACTAATCTTATGGAGCTTACCCGATTGTAGCGGGATGATGTAACGTTGCACACCTGCCACCGCATTAGGAGAAATCCAACTTTGATCATAGAAGTTAGTCTTTATTATACCAGTCTGTATCTAGCCTCATCGAAGCCAGCCTTAGCTAAGTACAGCCAGCTAGTCCTAGCAAACACTCTCTTACTGGAACGATGCTACTAGCAGAGACCTTATTTATTTCCAACAAGGAGCTCTGCACTGGATAGTAAGGATCTTGAGCTTACTTGTGGGCAGGGCCGGACTGGAAACTAAAAATTCTATACCAGCCCCCCGAAAATAATGAATAGATAAATATTTACCTTTTAGATACTATGGTGTTTGCTGAGTAAGTGGCAGGTGGATCCCATCTCCCATGCCACAGGAAGAGGCTCCACCAATCAAGATTGATTTTGTCCCATACAGCTCTTTCCAGCAGAATTTATGGGATATCTATTTTATTATATTTTAATATTGTGTCAGTAGAAAAAGTGAAACTCCCTCCCCCAACCATTACAACAGGTGCACAAAAAAAAACATATCAGTATTTAAGGTTTCAAAATATGTAAAGAAGGTACTAAGTGAAAGAGAAAGCTTGAATATGAAACCTACAAGTGAAAAAGAAATACGGAGCTGGTTAGAAATCCTATGATATTTTAATACTGTACTCCTCTTTTGTGTCACTCTCTTATCCCTCTCTTTCTCCCCTCCTCCTGTGTCTCTCTCTTTTACCCCTCTTTCTTCCACTCCCCCTTTGTCACTCTCTTCCCCCCACACTCCCCCACTGTCTCTCTCCTCCCTCTGTTTCACTCTTCCCCCTGTGTCTCTCTCTTCTCCCTCTGTCTCTTCTCCCCCCCCCCCCACTATTTCTCCCCTTCACGACCTCCTGAGGCTGACCTTGTATGAAATCAGATCTAGAGCTGTGCTAGAACGGCAAGGACAGCAATGTGCTGTTGTGTCTCTCTCTCGATCATGCTCCCTTGCAGTTTCCACAATTCCAACATGGACACATCATAGAGTAATCACTACTCTATGATGTGGCCATGCTGGGAATTGTGGGAACTGCAAGGGAGCATGATAGTCAGCTCTGCCCCCTCCCTCAATCCTCATATGCTGACAGCTGCACGGCTGCCAGTATTAGAGAGCTAGGCGGCCACCCGGCCCGGCGGCACCAGCATAGAATGCGCCCAGCCCCCCCAGTGTGTGCCAACAGACCGGCCACCCGGTGGCACCTACATGCGGCCCATGGCCGTGATGTTACTCAAGCTGGCAATAGGGCTCCCTCTCTATGGGAGGGAAGAATCAGCGCTGTGCAGCCCCAGGTGCCGCGGCCCACCGGGAAATTTCCTGGTATCCCGGTGGGCAAGTCTGGCTCTGCTTATGGGAGTTGCGGGATGCTTCTGCATGCCTCGGAGCCAACTGCAGAGATTTCCTTTTTCCAATCAACTATTTGGTGCTGGTCTCATGGTAACCAGTTATTTTGGTCATGTATGAATTTTCTGCTTAAGTAAACGGAATATGTACAGCTGTAATTTGGCTGGTTAAATAAATCACAGCTCAGGAACAGCTGCAGACTGCACTAACAACAGCAGGCACATGACCTAAATTGGATGAAATTAGGCAATGGCTTTTTAAAAGTAATATATGTAAAGATTTGGTCTGGAAACTTATAAATACATACAAAATTTGTAAAACTATTCAAATATTTCAATACTTTACTGGAGCAATATATACTCTGTAGAAGATATGCAGATAGTGAGTGCTTTGTGTTCCTCAAAAATATATAGAGGGTCGTGTTAGATTATGCGTGATGCTATAAGGACGTAACGCACCCAAGTAAGTAAGGAGCAAGCGGAGGAAAAGCGACAATGGCAAAAGCCAACTAATTTACCTCAAAACGAAGAAGTGGCAAAGTGAGCAAACGTTAGGGTGAGGAGTGCGGAGTACGACGATGAAACGTCATGAAGTTAGAGATCTGATTGAGAGTAGGAGCATACCAAGAAGTGAGTCCCAGAAAGCATGGATATATTACATCCACTGGAGAGACAGAGATGCAATTGTAAGTTGGAGGGGACCTCAAAGAGAGCTCAAAGGGCTTAAGGTTGTGAGTACAAATATTCTCTACAGCAGAGTAATCAGACTGTTAAAAAATAAGCTGTAATTGCCATATACATTAAACTGGTATAATCTAAACAGAAAGGAATCCAACAAACTTGACTAATAGTTCAAATCACTGATTAAACCACCAGGAGACTTACAGCAGATTCACTGCAGCCTTTAAAGAGACAGGCTACAGAATATCTCAGTACAAAAAACCATGTAAGATAACCCTGGCTATTACATCCCAAAGGGCTGGTTGATTGCTGGCCATAAGAAGGCGGTTTAATACAGTCCTGTGTATACCTCCCTACTGTGGATGGAGGTA